AAAAAAGTCACAGTGTGTCCTCATCCACCTCATTCACCAGATCTGGCACTATGTGACTTCTAGTTCTTCCCCAAAGTCAAAATGTCCATGAAAGGCATACATTTTAAATTGATTCATAGGCCGGGGATTTAGCTCAGTGGTTCCATCGCCTGCCTCCCAAGTGTAAGGTCCTGAGTTCGATCCCCAGTACCAAAAAAAAAAGTTAAATTGATTCATGACATGGAGGCAGCCAGAACAGCACAAGGAAAGGTATTTATGAAAGAGGACTTCCAAACTGCTTCAGAAAAATGGCAAGAATGATAGGATAAGTGTGTTTGAAGCATGGAGGAGTATCTTGAGGGGGATCAATAGCAATGTGTCTTTTACTGCAATAAATTTTGAGTTTAAACATACACTGTCTTTTTATCACACCTCATTTTATTCAACCTAATGTACTCAATTACTAGCACAGTGCCTTGCCTAGTAAATACTAAATATATGTTCAATGAACAAAGTGCTTAACATGCACAGAGACAGAACACAAATACAGTGGTACCTCAATACTCATCAAAATGAAGAGTATCAAAATGATGATTACCAAACAAATTGTTTGGCTGGAAAGTGTAGCCCGTCATAAGGCAATTGACACCAACAGTACTAACTTGTGTCCTGAATAGTAAATAAATGATGAGTATTAGGACAAAAATTTTCACATTGAAATGCATCAAGTACCAAATATGACTAGTTTCAAAGAAGAAAATACCCATTCAATGAACAAGCAATTGGCATCACTCTTGCCTAATCGTATCAGAATTTAATAAAGATATAATCTACATTATTGTCTTACCCACTCCTATTTCTAGAGCCTCTATCATTTGCAAATAACTTTTTGCCTACTTACATACATTAGGCTATTTTACTCAGTAATGCCACGACAAGATCAAGTTACTCAGCTGGAATTTGATATAACAACTTTAGTATGTCCTAAACAGCACTGGACTTAGGAGTCAAAAATCTGAGCTCAAGTCCTTATTCTACAATTGAACTTCTGATATGGTATTGAAAAGATCTCGTAACTAGTCTACACTCCACCTCACTTTCTCCCTTTCCTACTTGTCATCCCTATGATGGTAAATGTTAATTTTATGCAATTTAGTTATTATTATCCAAGTTAGCATGTGGAGATAGCTAATAAAGCTAGAAGGTACATAGACTTTAGGATAAGACAAGTCTGGTTTTAATAGTTGGACAACACTGGGCAAGTCACTCAACATCTCTGAGCCAGTTTTTTCAAATATAGATATATTAATAATTTTAATTATAAATCTTAGATAAAGAGTACAAAAACATTTATAGATATTTATGTGCCAAATAAAATTGTTACTATTATTCATTTTTGGTCAAGTTTAAGGATGGCACAGAACATTTCTGAAGGTTTTATATGCCACACCAACACAAGCACATTTAATAGGTGTGCATTTAAAAATTATTCACAATTGCTACACATTGGCTTATTAAGGGCTCTGAGAAGTTGTACTATAGAGAGATGTTGAACTTTGTTTATCCTATGGTTTTCTCCATTTATTTGAACATGGGACACATTTCAATGCCTTGTGGAATATCAAGCATGATAAAGAGCAGAACAAACTTCTCTTTCATCATATCTTTCTCACATGACTCAATGGAAGCAACTCAAGAAACAAAATCCCAAATAACAAAAGCACTCCCCACTCTGCAGTCGTTGGCATATACTTTGCAATGTTCCTATTTTCTGGATAACAACTGCGAGAGTAACATTTACAAATTCTAAAGAAAAAGACATTTAGACATAATTGATCATGGGTATGAGTGCTAAAAGCTGTTCTCATTGGGCATTTGTGATTTCCATTGGCTAAACTGCATTCTAGGTAATTTCTGAAATCATATGAAAATAATAAAGAAACTACTTTCTCATTCATTTGCAGGCACAGATCCATTAAAGCCGTAATTGTTCTTTTCACATGGTACCAAAAGTTCACTTCATTATTCCAAATAGCTCTTTCCTAGCATCACCTCCTATGACTTTAAAAGCTGCCATTAATTTCCCATTAGTAAACTTTAATTAAAATGAATATGTATCATTGCTTTTAGCAGTTGCATTTGTAATACTTGTATAAATACATGCAAGTTTTACCCACAATGTTTCAAATGGCTTATTTCCGAACAAACACTTTGATGTTGTTTCAAAAGATTTTATCTGCAGAAAGTTTTGAGAATCTAGCCCTTCCCTAAAATAACTAGAATTACATGGAAATGCAATGAACAGTTACAACCTAGCTAAAATCTATTTTATTAATTCCAGAAAGTAGCATTTTAAAACATGAATAATGACCTCGGAGCTTTGGATCATCAATATCTTCTGGTTTGTAGTATTTATATCAACATATTGAAAAGGAAAGTTAGAACAAGCAGGGGTATGCTTGCAGTATTTTGAGGAATCACAGTGGCTTACATCTACTAGGTCTAATACAATAATCTGAGATAAGTCATATTTTACCAGTTTATTCTTAAAGATGCATCCAAGTTCCATTTAATACTCAGTGAAATAGGAACACTTTACAATGCACCCAAGTGTTACATTCCATAAATTTTCCTATCCTTTATGATTTATTAGGTCAAAATGTTTGTTTAAACATGCTTTATAAAAAGAAAATGAGCCTGATCAGTCTTATATAAAGTTTTCACCAGGTTACCCTTGTATCCCCAAATATTCTAAACCAGAATCTAAGAATACTTAGATCAGATGACAATTCACACTTCCATACTAAACACATCATCTTGAAAATATGTGAAAAACATCTGATAATATTTCTGATCTTATCTCTTCGTTATCAAAATAAACTTCAGAACCTCTAAGGAAAGCACTATAGAAATGCTCAACCAAAAAGGAGCCATGTGCTTCTCCCAGGGTTACATGGCACTGTGCATCTGTTTGACAGACTGTGGTTTTCTTTCTTCATTTAACCCTACCCTTCCATCCATTCTCCTTATTGATAGCTTTTCTGTAAGACCTATTGACCCAGTGGCCATAGTCTCACTGAGATGTTTTTAGACTCTTATCTTTTCTTAATCATTTCTCACTTTCTGCATTTCCTGAGAAAATTAAACATCATTTTCAGTGAGGAAAATGTCCAGTAAACACAATTTTAACAATTTCTTCAGTTCATTGAAGTTGATATCATTTTTTTATAACACATGCATTGTTTTTTGATTAACAGAATTGAGATACATTTGCATGGTTGGCATATATCTAGAAGCTTTAAAAGTGATTAAAAGGAAGTGATATCCAAATTGTGCATAAAGTTTGAAAAAGTCAATAAACAGAATGGTAAGCTTCATTTACCAAATTACGAGATTAAAAATGCTAATGATCTGCATCCCAGTCACTAAATACTTTCAGTAATTAAATAAGCATTCTAGTTCTTCATCATACTTGAAGAACAGCATTAAACTGTAAGCATTCCCAATAGTCATGGATGGGAAATAGAGCTATCACAGTCAAGTGACATTTCACAGAGTCTCCTGGAATCTGAAAAACGGATGTTTCCAACATCAATTTGACTGCATATCATACAGCACTCCAGAAAGTATCTCCTAAAAAACAAAAATTTTCATAATCTGAAAAGTCAATTATTGACAATGTTTATTCTGGTGTAAATGAAGCAGGGGTCCCAGGAAAGATGGTGAATCATCACACTTGCTCTTCTTAGAGAAGAGCTATTGTTCATCATAAACTAAAAGAAGTTTGTGGTTCTAATTCACGATTGCACTAAGTTGTTTTCCATGTGGGATCAGCACAGGCAACAACTTATGTCATTTATCACAAAACAACTACAAACAAAAATTTAAAAAGAACACTAGTATAGCAGAGTGCAGTCCCATATTGGTGCACTTTCTAGGGAGTTTCCACATTTTACTTATTCTATGTACTGACTGAGTCATTTTAAATCCAAAAAAATCTGTAATTTGTTAGTATCTCTATACTATCACACACATAATTTTTGTAGATGTAAAGCATTGCTTTCAAAAGCATCGAAAACATAAAAATCAAAAGAACATATTCCTGAACATATTATTCTATTATATCCCTAAATCTAAGTTGTGAGTGTTCTAGTGATGGTTTCCCTCTGCCAAACAAGTGTAACCCTGTATTCCATTTGGTAAGTGAAAGTGAGATCTATGTAAAAACTGAGCACACTTAGAAAAGGGTGGTGCACTGTACAAACTTTAATCGCACTTGGCATCTTCATTGGCTGCTTTGCTACTTGTCATCTGATCTACCAAGTGTTCTCAGCTATGAGAAAGTAGATGTGGAGTTATTGCAGGATGATCAGAAGATGCACCATGTAAGTCTGAGTCCCCTACGGCGTACTTGTTCATGATCAGACACATATACATGAATAATATATATTCCTATGTGGATATATAATAAGTCAAGTTCCTACTAAGCACTTTACTCCAAGTATAGTCCTTCTCTAGCTGTGATCATTAAAATGTGGGTACTTTTGAGCAGAGACAATTCCTATGTAAGTATAATCAGTATTTTTTCCCAGGGAACGAAAGAAACCATCAAAATTAAAACGTGCACTTCGTATTCAACATAATAAAAAGGATTTTTAGAAAGTGTAAAGGTGATCCTTTCCTACTCACTGAAATTATAACACTAAAAACGGGGTTCGGGTTGTAGCATATAAAGGGAGAAGCTTGTGAGGCAAAGTAGGAAGACGGAAGGAGGTGACAGAAATCACTTCGCTGCTCTTTCCCGGTTTCTCAGTTCCCTCCCACCCTGAAAGAGACCTCCCCCCAAAATATTTTTTAAAATGCAAACCCCAGTCTAAAAAAACAAACCAAAACTGCAAACTGACAAGAGCGTGACTAGAGCTACTACCACGGCAGCCCTAAACGATTTCGTGCAAAAGCAAAGCTGTGGGAATGTAGCAGCAGCAGCAAATCTCCCTCGTCCCCCACCCCTGATACGGTACCTCCAGATCTGCCCGAGCTGCAAGATGTGGATGAGTGACTGCAGGAGCCAGATGCAGAAGGAGCAGGACGCAGACCTGTGTTTGCTGCTGGCCCGGGTGGCCCCGCTGCTGTTGCTACCGCTGTTGGTGGCCGCGATGTTGCTCTTGCTGGCGTTGGAGGCTTGCCTTTGAGGAGTGGAAGGGCGAGCCTCGCCTTCCCCAGCTGCAGACCCACCGCTGATCACCGTCTTGCAATCAGCTCCAGGCTGCGGGCAGCTGGAGGCGGTGGCGGCGGTCGTGGCGCTGTCCTCGGTGCTGAAATCGTGCACAAACCAGCGGAAACTGAACACTTGCACAGAGAGCGAGCCGAGCACCACGAAGAACAGTGTGAGCCCGAACCACCAGCGCTGGCCGCGCAGGTAGTAGTCCACAGCCAGCCAGATGTCCGTGCCCACGTCCGCGAAGTATACGGCCACGGCGGCCAGGATCCAGAGGCAGTCCCACAGCGAGTAGCGCCGCTGCTCCCTGCCCAGGCGAAGGCACAGCGCCGCCGAGCCCGCCCCGCCGCCGCCCGGGCCCCCCGCTCCGCCGCCCGGGCCCCCGGAGTCCCCAGAGCCGCCGCTCCCCGCGCAGCAGCAGCAGCAGCGCGAGCAACCGCTGCCGTCCGGGCAGCAGCCGGCCCCGGCCGCCTCCTCGTCCTCAGCTCCTGACCCCGACGGTAAGCCCGGCGCCAAGCCCTGCACCGAGCCCGAGTGGTCCGAGTTCTGCAGCGGGGTGAACGCCACGTCGCTGCTCTTCTTCATCTTCAGCCTCCCGTCCGACTTAGCGGCCATGATGCCTCCGAGCCGGAGGAGCGCCCTCTCTTCTCTGACACCTTTCCTCGCCGTCTCCTCCTCCCGCCACCTCCTCGCCTCGCCCCGGCTTCCCTCCCCGGCGCGCGGCGCGCCCTCCTCCTGCTCGTGCGCCCGCCGCCGCCGCCGCCTGCCGCCCGCCGGGCTGGGCGCTGGGCCGGGCTAGCGGCGCGCGCTCGCTGCGCCCGCCGCCGCCGCCGCGCGTTACCCGGTTCTGAATGTTACACTCACACATTCCATTCCCGACACCACGGCGCTGACCTCATCCATCCACGCAGCCCGCGCTGCCATTGGCCGGGCGTCACGTCCGGGGGGGCGGGGCTTCCGCTGCGCCCATTCATAAGCGGTGGCCGCGGGCGGGCGGAGGCGCCGGCGCGGCGCGGCTCGGCGCGGGGACCCCGGGGCGCCCCGGTGGCCACTCTCTGGCTCCCTGGCTCCCTCGGCGATCGCGCGGCCCAGGGCGGGACCCGGGACCCGCAGCCCCCTGGGCTCCTCGGCCCTGCGTCTCCGCCGCCCCCCGGGCGTGCCAGGCGCGGGATCCGGCCTGGGCCGCTCGAGGATCCAGCGCCGCCCAGAGGCACCCGCGGGGACGCGCGGCCCGGGAAGGGAAGCGGCGAGGCGCCCGGCCCCGCTCGGCGCTGCTCCCGCTCGGGACTCCCTGGGCGCCCGGAAGGCTCCGAGGGAGGCCGGCGGGGCGCGGCGGAGGGCGCGCTCGGCGGGGCAGCCCCGGGGTTGGGGACTCGCCACCGCCGCCCACCTCCACCTGCTGAGCCCGGGCTCCTGCTGGCCGGGAAGCATTTAAACAGCACCCGATTTCCCGACGGGCCCATCCGTTTTCTTTCTTACCCGCAGGGACCTTCTAACCCCCAGGAATAAGGAATTGCAGTCAGGAGGGACTGTTACCGTGCCCCACGTCCGCCTCCGGGTGGAGGACACCTGCTCCCTCCCGCTCCTTGTCCGCCTGCCTGTGCACCCACCCCTCGGGTCCAGAAGCCCACTAGCGAGCTCCTCTCCAAGGCGCCCGGACTCTGTCCGTAGTGGTGGTGGTGGGAGCTTAACTACAGAGCCCATGGTTTCTCGTGTATGAGAAACCCAAAGTATAAAAAATTAAAGAGCAAAATAAAAGATAGTGGGAAACAGATTTTTGCAAATGGGAAGTGACCGAGAGTTGGAGGGAGAGGCGGGGAGGGGATGAAGAAAAGAACTGAGACTTGTCACGAACTTGGGCCGACTCCCCACAGGGCATGCAGTCGTTACGGGCTGCAAATACGCGCTAATAAAAATGTGTGCAAGATGTCATAGGGATCGGTGAGGGCTAGAACTGCCGCAGGTCCCAGCTGAGAGGGGATCTTGAAGCAGGAAAGGGCCTTGTTGACAATCAGTGTGTGACGTCTGGGCCTCCCTTCACCTGACCTCCCAGTCCCCAGCCCGGTCGGTGACAGCCTCTCCGAGGACCCCGGGGCCACGGTGCTTGGAGCCGAGCCCTCTGGTCCGCACCCCTCGCTCTTCCCTGGCTGTCTCTGGCTGGCTGCGGGACCAGCAGTTGCCTGGGCAGCCGGCTGTTTAGCTACTGTTTATTCTGGGAGTGACAGAGCCGGAAGCAGAAAGCTCCCTGCTTCCCTGGGGCTGCAGAAACCCCAGCGGGCGTGGACCCAGGGCACGGTTCCAACTAGGCAGGGTGAAATGATAGAGCGAAAGGCCTCGCGAGTCCGCTCTTTCGGATCTGTCTTACTGAAGGGGGAAGGGGCGTGGGTGGGACGTTAGCGGGCATCCCCAGGCCTGTCCCCAGGTCTGGCCCGCTGAAGATGAGGCAGCTCTTCCAGATCTGCTCTGTGCCCTGAACCTGTGGAGGGGCCTGGGGTGGGAACAAGCATGTGGTCATCTTCCAGCTATGATGACAACGGTGAAGATAAATGCAGTGATTGAAACCACATGTGACCAAGGGCTGGCCGGCCCTGGTGACCAAGGGCGGTGAGCCTGGGCCCTGCCTTTCCAATGGGGTGCACGTGATCCCCGAAACGGAGAAGCCGGGACTTGGGGCATGGGCACAGCCCTGTCCTCCGGGTTCTCCTGCCTCCCCGGCTCTTCTGCGTCCTCCTGCAGCTTGAGCCCAAGTCCTTCTCCTTTCTGGCCGGACTGTCGCTGATTCTCCCATCCCAGGCCCCGTTGTTGCCCTTGCATTCCAGAGCAGTGCGTGTCGTGAGGAAAACCCTACTCCTGGAACTTAGAGAAAACCTGGATTGGAGAGCCCAGCACGGTCTTCACTGCTGCCTTCAGCACAATCTCTCTGAACCTGGGTTTCTGACTTAACTCAGAAGAATAGTAATGTTTTGCCAACTTATCTCAATGTGTAAACTGAACCTTGCTCTACATGTGAGGCCTTAGCTCAAATTTTACATTTCCAAGTCCAACTGGAATATAAAGTCGCCCCTACAGATCTCCTTGTGTTTTTTTCTAGCTCTGTTCACCAGTTGAGGTCTTTATTTTTATTTATGCTCCTTTATTGTGTTTCTTCACTCTAAGGGGCACTGTCTGAGTCACAGCCGAATCCCCAGGGCTGGGGGAGCTCCTGGTACTAGGAGTCAACCACTGATTTGAGTGAATGATGAATGAATGAATGAATGACGAATAAATGAATGAATAGAATTTGACTTCACAGCCCTTGAAGAGCTTAGAAAGAAAGATCTCAGTCAAGCTTGGTGGTTCATATTTGTAACCCCAGCAAGTTAGAGTCTGGCCTGGACAACTTAGCAAGTGCATATCTCAAAATGAAAAAAATTTAAAAAGGGCTGGAAATGTAGCTCAATGCAAAACTGAGAGAGAGAGAGAGAGAGAGAGAGAGAGAGAGATCTGAA